TTCCAGCCTCAAGATCTGGATTAAAAGTGTGTGTCATCCTATCTCAAGATATGGATCAAAAGCCTGTATTTTCCAGCCTCAAGATCAGGATGGAAGGCATGTTGTCTTCCTGCCTCAAGATCCAGGATACAAGTGTTTCTTCCATTTCTGGATTGTAAGTCACTCCAGATATAGTAAAGTTGACAACCAAGAATAGCCACCACAGCTTGGGAAGCCCATAAAGTTACAAGATTTACCAGAACCACCCCCCACACACACACACATATGATAAAAGCAGTAAATAATTGCTAGGGAGAGGAGACTGTCCAGTGGCTATGTTCTACGTACACAATTATCCTGGGTCATCAACCATGCAGAATTTTTTTTTCCTTGCTGGTGGGTAGTGTTCTATCCAGTGAACCTAAGTTCCAAACACACAGCTTTCTTCAGTTATCATCCATGCAGAAATGGGCTTTTCGGCAATGCATCTGCTTTTCCAGTCATTCATGCTCCTGTAGATAACCCCCCCAAATGCACTGGTTCAATGAGATAGACATGGATGGAATCATTTATTTAATCTGTTCTTTATCCTAACATTTGTTCACATCTTTCCAAGAAAAGTCACACAACACAATCAATGCCTGAATACAGTCTGACACAAATGAAAGTGAGTTGAGAAGGAGTTGTAGCATGGCCCTTTGTGACAGGTGATGAGGTGTGCAATTGAGGCCAATCCTTTTGAGGGAGGAAATCCAGAGACAATGCCAATATACTATAGTTCCTCAAATGCTATGAGCTAGTGTGTGTCCTTGTTGTAGTGGCAATTGCATGCTCTCTCCAACAGATGATAGCCTGCAACCAAAGCTGAGCTATTTCAAGAGTAGAGTATCCTCAGGGAGGATTCTGAGGTGGCCATCTTCCTCTACATGGTATGGATCAGCATGCTTCCTTGGTGCCAGTATGAAGAAACACCCAAAATAGCCAGTGGACTAGAAAACTAATATATTGCAATCACTAGAAGTACCTTGTATGGGTCAGGATCATAAACAGGCTGCAGCAGCTGCTACATGGCCTTTTATGTGTGGGTTAAGATATGCAATCAAAAGCTGAGCTATCTAGTTGGAAAGAATGTGCCAATGTAAGAGAGGATTTACAGTGGGTCAGTGATATGTGGATGCCATCTTCCACCTTAGCCTCTTGGTAGGTCAAGTGAGGAAAAGAAGGATACGATGGGCTGCTGGCTTTCCTTCTTATAGTTGGCAGGATGTAAGGTGAGGACAGACAAGTTACATATGTGGTAAGATGACTTCCTGGGCACAAAATGCTGGGAACTCATGGGAAGAAATGAACAGAAGGTACGAAGGTGGGGTGGGGGTGGTGGCTACAGGTGCTAGAAGACACCTGACCTTTAATACAAAGGGGGAGAAAAATCCATGACTCAGAATGCAGATGGAATCTTACATGTCCCCGTGCAATAATCAAAGGCCACTTTGCATCTAAATGGCCTGAGTTCAAGAAGACTTAAGCGAGAGAGAGGCAAACCTCTCAGTCTTGTAGGGGTATGGGATACAGTGTAACACTATGGCATACAGGAACAGATGAAATGAGTGTGCCATAGAAACCGAACATCTGAGTGTGGTGGTTAATGTTAACTGTCAATTTGACATCTAGAATCACGGGGGAGGGAGTTTCAGTTAGGACCTGTCTCCTTTAAATTGGACTGTGGGCATGTTGGTGGGCCAGTTTCTTGGTTATGTTAAGTGAGATGGGAAGACCCACTTACTATGCTCCAGGAAGGGAATTCTGAACTTTATAAGTGTGGAGAAAGCTCTATGTGATGGAACTCATAGCTGACACTGTTATTGGGACAAAGAACTTGTGGCCAGGACAGATCATAGGCCCTAGGGGAGAGCATACTACTATTCTGCTAAATGGACATAAGCACTAAAATGATGCATAGTGACTTAATGCTATACCCATAGATTAGTACATCTCTCAACCCTTATCAGAGATGTTTTATTATGAAGACAGAAATTAACACTGAGACCCTAAACTGAACAATACACAGAAAATAAAGACTTGGGAGTGTTCAGCCCTATGTTACACATCTACATCATATCTTGCCATGAAAGGTTCCGGGATCACCATGGAAGAGCGGGCAGGAAGACTGCAAGATGCGGGAGCATGGATGACTGCAAGGAAATACTGATTTCTGGACACAGCAGAGTGGTTGCACAGCAGATGTGAAAGCATGCACGAGACCTACAAGTCCAGCCAGATAAAAACCAGCACGAAGGTGTGGAAGTGAGCATGAAGCTCCACCTGCAGCTGAGGAGCTACTGGCAACTGATAGCTACTGGGAGAGGAGAGTCCATTCTCTCTAAGGGAATGACCCCAGGGGCAAGTTAACTACACTCCAGGAGTGTTGTGTGGGGACATGTGTCTCTGCATCTATATCTGTTTCTTGTGCTTTTCCTTGGGCTCCTCTTTCTTCTGGTTGTTTTATCCTATTCTGGTTTATCTTATTTTACCATTATTTTTAGATGCTTGTTTTTTAGCAAGAAAAAGAAAAGTTGTGGATTTGCATGAGAGGAGAGGTAGAGAGGATCTGGAAGGAGTTGGGGACAGAGAAACCGTGATCAGAATATACTGTATGAAAAATACCTATTTTCAATAAAAGAAAAAAAGATGTCAGCAATGGTGCTGAGGATTTCAGGAAGAGCCAAAATACTAAAGTAATGTTTTCCTATTTTAAAAAAGTATCCTTTTTTATTTTTGAGATATAATTACACCATTTTACCTTTCCTCCTTTAAACCAACCCATATACCCCCTCCTTGCTCTTTTTCAAATTCATGGTCTCTTCTTCATCACATTTGTTACCTATGCATTCCTAAATACATAATCCTAAATACATAAATACATGTCCAGTCCTGAGGATCGGACACCCTTTTCTGGACTCCGCAGGCAGACATGCTCAAGTATGCACAACATTCTCCAACACACTTGTAATTTTAAATATTCTTTTTGAACCTTAAAGATATGAACCTTTAATGAAGAACTGCCCTGACAGAGTAACTGTGGGTTGACAGACTTGAAATGTTATAGCTTGTAAGTAATAGTAAGCATGAACAAAAGCCACCCATCAGCAACTGAAGTAAGAATAATACAGAAAAATAGCAGTAAAAATTGATGTGCAGATGGGATGCTTGAATGGATAAGTAGGTATCAGAAGAGAGGCTGAAACCTGGTCACATCCCAGCAACTGAAAAAAACTGAAGCAGGGTGACTAAGTGTGTAGCAAGACCCCCATGTTTAAAGATGAGTAAAATAGATGGTAGGGAGAGCAGTTCCATAAAGAATGCCATCTAGGTGGAGACACACACCTTAAGGGTTAATCCATGAGGCGGTCAGGGACCTGGTTAGGGACCATCCTTAGGAAGAAGTATTCAGCTTAAAATAATGTACTTTTGCTTCCCAGAATTCCTGCTCCTTATGTAGTCCCTAAGAGTAGCCATGAGGTTCAGCTGGGCCTGTCCTTCTTTCCTCAGGAAGGCCTTTCTTTCTTTTCTCTCTCCCTTTTCTTCTTCTCCCTCTCCCTGTCCTTGTTCTCTCCCTCCCCTTTCTCTTTCTTTGTGGCCTCCCTTTGGCATCCTTGCTTTTTTTTTCAACACACACACACACACACACACACACACACACACACAGAGAGAGAGAGAGAGAGAGAGAGAGAGAGAGAGAGAGAGAGTTGTACAAGGCTGACTTCCATGCCTATCTTCTCTATTCTATTAGGCACCTGTGAGGTTTACAGCTTGCCAGCTCTGATTTTTTTCCTTTTAAGTTCAAATAAGTTGTCCTTGAGTTTCTGTTTGATTTTTCTTTCCTTTTAAAAATTTCTAAGTCTTTATTGTATATGTGCACATATGTGAATTCCATGGTGCACACACAGAGTTCTGAGGACAACCTGCAGGAGTCAGTTCTCTTCTTCCTGTTTGTGGGTCCCAGGGATTGAACTCAGGTTGTCAGGCTTGGTGGCAGACACCTTTACCTGGGAAGCCATCTCACCAGTCCAAAGATTTTTATTTATTTGTTTTGCCTGCATGTATGTCTATGCCTGTGCACTTGGTGCCTGCAAAAGCCAGAAAAGGTTCAGGATCCCTGGAACTGAAAGTTCTAGATGGATATGAACTATTGTATGGGTTCTGGGAACCAAACCCAAGTCCTCTGTAAGAGCAGTCAGTGGCTCTTAACCACTGAGTCATCTTCTCAGTCCCTCACACCTATTTTTAATTCATAATATGTATGTATATTATGTTTGTTTGTTTAATGTGGTATCACACTGCATAGCCTGATTAACTTGGGACTCAATAGGCAGATCAGGCTGATTTCGAACTCATGGAGATCTGCCTGCTTCTGCCTTGTGAGTGCCAGGATTAAAGATGTGCGCCACCACAACCAGCTTTAATTCTTTTACTAATGAGATCAAAAGCCCCACAAGGGGACCTTGATTTCCTGGGCATCACATGATGGCTCTGCTGGGACTCCCTCTGATTTCTGGTGACACTTTTTCCTACCTTTTAATTTTTCAATAGGCAGAGAAAATGACCTCACTCTTTGAACCCTTATGTGGTATCAATGGGTGAAACTGAGAGGACCTTCATTCAAATTCCCAGAGCCTACATAAAAGCTAGGCGTGGCCATACATGCCACAACCCCACATGTTATCAGGGGCAGAGACTAGTAGATAGATGGCCTCGATGAAACAGTGAACTTTGATTCAAAGAGCCACTGTCACAAAAGTAAGGTCAAGAGCGATCGAGAGAGAGGAAGACCCCATAATCTTCTGCTTCTGCGTGTGCATGCAGCACACACGTGGGTATCAGCACCCCCCAAACGATGAACAAAACAAAAAGATGCTGAACTTCCCTGTCAGAAGAAATACACAATAAACAATACTGAGACACCACTTTAATGGGGTCAGAAATTACAAACCCAGGTAACTGCAACTGTTCACCACATTTACCTGAGCATATGGTATGAGAGTTTCAAACTGTTGATGAAGTTCTAGTAGCTGGATTAGTTCTGCATTCTTCTTGGCTTTTTCTTTAATCAAGTTAATATAATGTTCAGGGTTTTCTGCGAATGAACATGCCGCATCTCTGGTGTTAAAAGTGTAATATTTTTCTTTATGTTTCAAAATTCCAATGGCTGGATTTCCTGTGAAAATTAAGAACAATAATTTAACCAAGCATTAAACAAGTGATTTTGATAAGCCACAGGACGAATGTTGTTGTGGTTTAGTTTTTCTTTGTTTGGTGGTGTTGGCAATCCACCCAGAGCCTCTCAGCTACATGCCCATCCCACGCTCCATTTGAAAATAGCAGTTCTATTTTTTGTTTGCTATTATTAAATGATAAACATGTGAAATTCATGCCAAACAATATATCGTTAAGTTTAAAAAATATTTTATGGGGTCGAAGAGATGGCATAGCAGTAAAAATTAAATAGGGCTCTTGCTCAGAACCCAAGTTCAGTCCCGAACCTTCATCCAGTGGCTCATAACTGCCTGTTCTTGGGGATTCTGTGCCTTCTTCTGACCTCCACAAGCACCTGCACTCACATGCATATACCCATACACAGAAATATACATAATTTAAAAAATAAAATAAATCAGGACTGGAGGGATGGCTTAGTAGTTAAAAAGTATGTATTTCTTTTCCAAAGGACCTGAGTTTGGTTTCCAGCATCCTGTCAGGTAACTCATAAAACCTCTAACTCCACATCCTCTTTTGACCTCCAAGGGTACCTGTACACATGCTGCTGCCTCTGGAAGCTGACACTCCTCTGGCTTCTGCAGAAACACACACACACACACACACACACACACACACACACACACACACACACACACCTTTAAAAAGCACAGACACTGAGACCAACAATTAATAACTGGGACCTCCTGAAACTGAGAAGCTTTTGTAAGGCAAAGGACACAATCAACAAAACAAAATGGCAGCCCACAGAATGGGAAAAGATATTCACAAACACCACATCACACAGAGGGCTGATTTCCAAAATGTACAAAGAACTCAAGAAGTTAGCCACTAAAACACCAAAAAATCCAATTAAAAAGTGAGGTACAGAACTAAATAGAAAATTGTCAATAGAGGAATCTAAAATGGCTGAAAGACACATAAGAAAGTGCTCAACATCTTTAGCCATCAGGGAAATGCAAATCAAAACAACTCTAAGATACCATCTTACTCCTGTCAGAATGGCTAAAATAAAAAACACCAATGATAATTTATGCTGGAGAGAATGTGTGTGTGTGTGTGTGTGTGTGTGTGTGTGTGTGTGTGTGAATGCAGCATGTGTACAGGTACCCTTGGAGGTCAAAAGAGTATGTGGAGTTAGAGGTTTTATGAGTTACCTGACAGGATGCTGGAAACCAAACTCAGGTCCTTTGGAGGAGTGCCAACTCATACAGCCACTTTGGAAATCAGTATGGTGGTTACTCAGGAAAATGGGAATCAGTCTACCACAAGATCCAGCAATTCCACTCTAAGGCATATACCCAAAAGAAGCACATTAATACAACAAGGATATCTGTTCAGCGATGTTCATAGCAGCACTATTTGTAACAGCCAGAACCTGAAATCA